CTACTCAGGGTGACATTGATGGTTATTGTTACAAACACAATGTTATACAATACGCCATTTGATAGATGAAAACCTTGACTTTCTCTTGGTTTTAGATAATATATAATGAAACGTAAGAGAGAGAACTATCAACCAATTATGAAAGAGAGGATGTGACAGGTGGGTGTGGCTGGAGGGGTCTGATTTTCTCTTTGATAGCTCTGTAACAAAACAAAATTGAAGGCCATAAAAATTATGGTCTGTTTGAGCAATAATGATTATATAGAGATTATTTTACATTTAATTTCATACATTTTTGAAGGGTGATGGATAAAATAGGAATGATGACATGCTAAAACAAAATTTGTCGTATGTTACCCTAGTGGAAATTCAGGATTTTTTATGTATTTCCTTTTAGAATTAAGAACTTAAAATATGGATTATTAGCTAAGATTTTATGCTATTCTAACTGGTATAACAGAAACATAAAATAGTTTAATAAAATTGTGAATGTAAGACACTAAAACCTTGTATCATGCGCAGTAAAGGGTACCTGTGCCAATAGGATTAAAATGAAATTATTAATTCGTGTATACTATGCATAATGATGAGGTAATTTTGATGAAATAAACAATAAATATAACTTTTAACACTCTTGTACACAACTTGTAAATATTATTACCTATATTTTGAGTTATTACATTCAATTTATGGTAAACAATGTCCAACAAATTTACAAAAAAGACATATTTTCATTTTTGAATAATTTTAATATAAATAATAAATATTCAAATAGCAAAATCCACTATTTGTTTCAGCTGTAAAACTAGATGCTTGATCGAAATAATCTTGAGTGTTTTGACTGGCATACTTGAGAAAAGCTTAGAAATAATTAAATAAGTAAGTTATCAGTTACTTTTAGCCTCATGAAGCACTGAAAGTGTTTTTAACGTAAAAAATATGTTCACAATAAGTTTCATGATATACTATTTTGCAATATTTTCCTTTCATAGTTGTTATCCAGTCTTCTGGTGGGTTGAGTAAGGATGAGATTGAAAACATGATAAAGAATGCAGAAATGTATGCTGAACAAGATAAGAAGAGAAAGGTCAGTTTCATAAATACAAAGCACAGTATAATCAGCAACACTAGTCCATACTGAGCTCATGATTAAACTTTTCATAAAAAACTTGTTTTTTGTTCCAAACTAGATTTTATACACCATATAAAAACTTCCCGTATGTGTAAGTACTTCATTTCCAGAATGTTGTGTGTTTTTCTGGAACTTATAAACGTGTGCATTTATCAGGGTACTATCTTTTTGGTTTAGGAAAAATAGTTTATTTCAGAATATTTTTAGAACAAAATTAAGTAAATAAGTAGTTTTTTTAATACATTTAAGTTTTTTTCACTCATTAATACTGTAAATTAGATATAGTTGAATTGTATTCTAGATTTTATGTTTAAACTTAATTTTTTTATTCCAGCAGGAATTTAATTCAGTTTATTAAGGAGGGTAAATTAATTCTAAGCACTGTATTTTTAGGAAGTTGTTGAAGTAGTAAACCAGGCGGAAGGTATCATACATGACACAGAATCTAAGATGGAAGAGTTTAAGGATCAACTTCCAGCAGATGAGGTAATTACCAAAGTTCTTTAATTGATAGAATCTCAGTACACACACAACTTGTTAAATTAAAATCTTGTTAATTTGAGAAGACTACCACTAACTTATTTGGTTCATCAGATTTAAAATGTGACATTTTTTTATAGGGTTACTATTTTTTCAAGATTCTAGTGTTTAACTCTGTTGATCACCTGGTTGATTGGTTGAATCCCAACTCGTATGCCCTAGTGGCTCAGCAGTATGTCTGCAGACTTACAATGCTAGAAACCAGGTTTCAGGACCTGTGGTAGGCAGAGCACAGATAGCCCAGTGTGTGTAGATTTGTAGTTAACTACAAAAAAAAAAAAAAAAAAAAAAAATCCAACTTGTACAGCTAATAACTTTGATTATTTTTTATCTAATAGCATTGTTGAACTAAGACTTTGCAGTGGTTATTAGGTTAGTGATATGGACTTCAAACTCACAATTTATATATCATCTGGTGAAGTGATTGAATTTAAATGCAAACAATTAATATCTTTAACTCTTTGAATTATCACATGGATTGATGACCTAACTCCCACAGTTAATTTTGTGGAACATCACATGAGCTAGAAGAACTAAAATTTTATACATTAGTTTCTAAATGAAACATTGTAGTATTTACATAAAACTGATTTTGTTGGCTATACTCAAAACCGTGAATAGAGAGGTTTGATTTTTCAAACAGTCTTTCTGTTTCTCCAATATACAAAGTTAAATAATCTTTACAGTTTATTCTTTATTGGAAAACTTATTTTTCTGTTTTATATAAGTGAAACAGTCATACTGTATTATCTCTTAGATTACACCTATGACTTTACCAGTGAATGTTCTTCTCTCTGAAACATAAAATAAAACATTAAAATTTTGAGAAACTATTCACATAAGAATCTAAATTTACACTAGAATTTCATTATGCATGATATCTATGGAACTCAGTGTCTTTTAATCTTAGAATCATGGATATATCATACAGTTTTTATGGTAACTTTGAACAAGAGAAAACTGTATAAGCTTAGGGTTTGATCTCTTTCTTCTAAAAATGAAATGAAACTTTCAAAATGTTGTTTTGGTGTTGATGAAAAGTTTTCCTAAAGTAAGGCTACTTTTGTTCAGTGTCCATTCTATTTTTACCTTGATTTACATTAAGAATGCTTTTCAACATGTTCATGACACTACACACTTAGCAAAATTAACAGTAAATTCCTCTATCTATCTATTTCTATTTTATTAATTGAGGTGTAATCAGTCATATCTAAGTCTGCTTATTAGTCTTAGATAATGAAAGTGGTTTACATTGAGAACAAAGTAATTTATTTACCCCTCAGCTTCACAGTTTGTCATCTTTTGATTTGTTATTAACATTTTTGAATGGCCTGTCTTTCTGATCACTTTAACTTCATCAGGAATACCGTTGTGACTGCATCTATAACATTTGTATTTAATGCAAACATCACACCTTGCATCAGCGACTGCTGCAGGGTTAACATGACTTTTTGACTTTATACCAATGTATAATGACAAGACATGCACTGAAAACAGGTTTTCTATAGGTATATGAAGATTTCTTTACAAGAGATTGACTCTTAAAAAGTTAATAATTTTTTATGGTAATATTAAAAAACAACTAATTTCCCTTAGTATGAGAATTGACATTTTCTTTCTAAGCATCTCCTCTTCTCTAATTTATTTACCACCCCTCAAAGAAGCACAAAATATTTAATGTTAATTTCTCATTATAATGTTTTCATCGCTCAGACAAAGCATAATTTTTATTTAGTTGCAGAACCATAAATTGAAAATTAGACCCTTTTTGCCATGCCCACCTGTCACATCCTCTCTTTCAGAAATTGCCAATAGTTCTCTAATTGTTAATACTATGTTATTTATAACCAATAAAAAGCCAAGGTTTTACTTTAATCAAAAGATGTATTATATTATGATGTTTTCTATACAGAGAATGGTCTGTTTTGCTTCCAGTTCAAACTTTATTCCCACAGGAAACACATCAATGAGCTTAGCTGAATTTTTAATAGCTCTTGTTTCATAATTAGAAAGCCATAATAACTAGTAATTATGGGACATTGTCTGCTTTTTGCATGTGGTTATTCTGTGTTCTTTGGGGCATTATTTAATTAAACGAAATATTATTTAGTGCTGTAGTACCATTAGTATAAGAAAAAAAAGTAGGCCCAGGTTTCATCGAAAGTCAAACTAAAAAAAAACACTGGTAATTACTGTATTTTCTATTTGTAATGTGTATTCATTATTTATTATTATAAAAGTAACTAAAATGTAAAAATTATAAACTGTTTAGGTTAGATAAGAATAATAAATTTTCATGAGGTACACTCAGGGTAAGCCTGAGAGTTATGTAATTTGATAAGGTAACCTCCACCAAGTGACTTGCTAATTTTATGGTGGGAATACCAGTTAGACATGGTTCCAAGGACAATAAAATTTAAGTATAAACAGATGTATGCTGTTACAAGCTTAAAGCTATTCAGGATAAACAAATGTAGTTTTATTTTACAGTTTGAAGTCATTCTAGAAAGAAAACGAGGGTAATTTAGTTTTTAATTTTTTTGTGGTTATGGAGTTAGGGTAGAGAAAATAACATAAAATAAAAAGCTTTACTGAAAATAATGTTTGAAATTTATTTAGGAGGTTTTAGAGATTATGCAAGTGAAACTTGAAATTTTTCAGATGGAGAAAAGTATTTTTTATCCCAACATGAAAATCACTTTGCACTTTACATAAATAATTGGAGGGTTAAAATCATGTTTCTCCGAAAATTGTGATATTTTTAAGATTCTAATATTTTTGAATTTTTAGTGTGAAAAACTAAAAGAAAAGATAGCACAAGTACGAAACTTGCTGAGCAACAAAGACAACGAAACTGCAGAAAAGATAAAGGAAACTACCCAGGATTTGCAACAGTCTTCATTAAAACTCTTTGAAGTAGCTTACAAAAAGGTAATATATAAATCATAATAAATACTGCATTCCTTTCTGGCCCATTGTAGGCTTACAGCAACATATGTACAGCCTAAAATTCTATTTTGCTTTGTTATTTATTAACAGGTTGGATGGATATATAGTTATAGATACATTACAAATTTGTCATACTTTTTATAAAGGTCAGAAGTTGCTTACAAAAAAAATATGAAGCAATTAAAATTTAACTGTGTTTGTGCTGAAATTTGAGATTAAATAGACATTGGTTAATGTTCAAAGTGGCAGTTTAAATATATTAAAGTTTCTATAGATTATTTTGTTAATTAATTTCTTTTTAATAGTTAGATAAATAAGTTTTAGAGACCCGTTTATCAGCGATAGCAAAGTATTGATCTCTCTTTCGTATTAATTTATTTATGTATGTAGGCACTGGTAGAAATAATTTCTTTGCTATCATAGCATGATTTTGACTATTTCTTAGGTTTACTTATTATCCCTTTTTTCTTTTCTTTTAATACAAAAACCTGTTTATTGTTTCTTATGCCAAGAGATTTGAAACATCTGTTTTTTTATTATTTAACATTAATTGTTCAACTTTTAGATGGCTTCCGAGAGAGAAGGGTCCTCTACCTCTGGGAGTGATAGCAGTTCTTCTGGATCCGCTGATGGATCTGAGAAGAAAGAAGAGAAAAATAACTAATTTTTCATGATTTACAACTTCAAATAAAAACATAACATTGTACTGAGATCAGTTAGAGACTGAGGATAGAACAGGTGCAATTAGTATTTGAAATTTTCTCATCAGTGTTTAGCAGTTAATTCTTTCTCATGGAAGTCCTTCAACATCCAAATAGAGTTTTGTAAGAAAATAAATTGTGCATTTTTTTCTTTATAAATAGTTACTTAGACATCCTTCTCTCCTTTCTCTGTAAGCCATTGTTGTCTTTATCCTAGAGCACAAGTGTAGATATCTTTAAGACACAAATTATGTGTTTAAAAAATTACTACTGTCATTCTTGTTCTTTTCATTTGGGCTGATTTTAATAAAATTATCATTTATTTTCATTTGGTTGATTTTAACAAAAACAACTTGAGATATTGACTCATATTTTTCTGTACAATTTTTCATTTGTTGAAAATGTAACAAACTGTTTTTACTGTCATCATTTTATCTAGAAATATTAAGTTCTTAAGAGATTAATATTAATGCTGCTAGAGCTTTAGTGTTTCCTCTGAAGGGAATGAGATTTCGTTACTCTTTAATAACACCCTCTAGAAATGTTTATTTCAAAGAAACAAACTAGATTGAAAAGTTTTGCAGGAAACACATCTTTACAGACTGTTAACATCTGAAGAAAGGTATCCTATTCTGAAATGTTATAAAACAGTTTTTGATGTTTGAAAATCATAATCTTTTATCTTGCAAAGTACAGTTTATTATGTTGTACTTTTTTTTTCTTATATAGAACATTTATTAATTGTGAGGCAATAAGTATATGGAGTTAACTAGTAAAGTAATTTTAAAGTTTGCAGAGGTACAGAATCACTTTAAATAGTTTTTAGTTCAGCTCATCATATGCCATAAAATGATATGGCATATAGGAAGTTGAAATTGAACAAGGGTTTCATGATCTAAATTGTTTGCCATTGCCTTTCCTAAATAGAAGAATCCACACCAAAATTGAAAAGACTGAAACCCCCATCTGTTATATTAACTTAAATGATTCAAAGAAAATTACTATTTTAGTTATACTTCAGTTAAACTATTTCATACATGATTAAGAAGAAAATTATCAAACGCCTATATCCACAATTGCATTTAATATTGTTTTTGGAACAGAATCTAGTTTAAAAGGGCTCTTCAGCTTCAAAGACTAGAAAAGCAACTCTTAACTATAAGATGAATGTACTATTGCTACATCTTCAACTGTGAAAATATAAAGAACAGAACTTTGATAACTAAATGAGGTTAACTAAAAATTTCATAACTCATTAAATATTTTGAATAAGAACAGCATTTTAAACCTACCATTTTTTTACCCAAGTTCCTCGTCAGTTGAGACTAGACCTATGGCAGTCAAAGTTGAAATGCAATTTATATGTAGTTGTGTGAAATGCAAAAGCTGGCATTAGATCTCCCAGCCTAAGTATTTTATATTACCACCAAAAATATAAACTACACAATAGTTTGTTTCAAACAATGATACATTTCAGTTAACATTGGAAATAACATTAAAGATACATCACTGTAACATTATCAAATGTTCAACAAGGAGGTCTTATGGCATAGTATATGGCTTAAAAAATAATTAGGAAAATAACAAGCTATAATAATAGAGCTGTGAAAAATAAAATACTATCTTTGGTATGAAACTGTTATAGTTGAAGTATGTAAACCTGAAAACGTAGTTTTATAGTAAATTATATTTCCACAGTGAATTTAATATTTTCATGTTTATTTAAATAACTGGTGAATTTCATAGTTCTTAAATAACGGTAAATATATCATTCACATATTTGTTTTAAGCTAATGGTTTAGATTATTTAGACATTCATGCAACAAAATCTTTTCATGATAATACATAAATACATTTACTAATATACTGGTTAAAGTGGACCCCATACTAATCTCATCTCTTTGTTGATATACTTTTCCACTTAACAAAAAAATGTGATTCTTTCGTTGTTTTTTCTTAAATACTTTCTTGGGTATGCCATCTAAGTTACCTTTATTATTGTAAATCAAGTTTACACACATTTTAGTGGTGTATTTAGTGAATAGATTTTACATCAAAACTGGCAATTAATACATTTTGGTCAAAATTTAACTTTTTTTTTATGTATGTATTGTTTCCGAACATGCTCGTCCTTTCAAAGAGGGAAGGCTGTCAAGTGGGTTGCATCCTTGACGTAAGAAACAGCTTTAGAAACGATGGTAGAGCTAGATCTGCCATCGGCTCAACGGTCCGCAAGGACTATGAGAAATAAAAAAATACATTGTTTCTGATTATAGGAAATTTAATGTTTTTATTTATTAGTGATTGCTTTCATATGAATTTCACTAATTGTGTTTTCTGATCATGAAGATTTTCTAGACAAGGTACTTTTATGAGTCAAAGGCTCTGATTAAGTGTTACCTGCTAATTTAACAGATAATACCATACTTGATTGGTTGGTCTCCTTATACGTAAAATCTGTTATATTGAAATAAATTAGCACTTTGACGACAAGTATAAAAATCCTCTATAACAAGATACTGATGACGGTTCAACAGAAACTCAATTATTTAAACAGCCACCATTCAAATTCTCTAAACAATATCCACCTATTGCCACTTCTATATTATATGATTTCAGTTGTAAATATTTTAGGTTCTGAGAAACTCGTTTCCCCTCAGTCTATCATTTAACTTTGTTAAAGTATTTCTTAAAATAGTAAGCAAGTGCAAGGGCTTATTATGGAAAGATGCAGAAGACCCAAAAATTTGTTAAGAATTGACATGATTGATCTGTATATCAAAAATCAGTCTAAACATAAATTACTGAAACCAAGTTAAAAGATGTTTTAAACATATTTAAAGGCTATTATTATATCCAATCGAGATTACTAACAGTCACCTTCTTGATTTTACGGCGTTTGTTTGGGGTTAACCACGTAAGGATCTCTATTAGAAGTACTGTCATGGTCACTCTAAACAATGACCTATAATCTACTCACCCTATACTATCTCAAGTCAACACTACTTTTGACTTTTAAAAAAAGCTGCAAATAATAAATCTATAATAAAATGTAAAACTTTCACTGATGTAATTCCATTTATATCCATCTCTCACAACTGAAAGAAATTTGTTTTTTAGTGCAAACCCACACAATAGATTGTCTATACTCGGTCCACTGCAGAAGAATCGAGCCATAAATGTTAGTGTTGTAAGTTTATATACTTACCACCGACCCGTTGAGGGATATTGAAAAAAAAAGGAATACAGGGCTGTTGTAATCCTTGTGATTGCCAACATGCCACTCAACTTTAAGGCTTTATTATTATTACCGTCTTGATATTATTCTGAGGTTCATTCTTAACAAATATAATCAGTTTTTTATTTTACAGATAAAGTAGAGATTGATATATATGTTAGCTATAGTAATAGAGTTTTTATGCAACAAAATGTATTTGAAACCAGAAAGTCCAAACTACAAAAACTTGGTTCTTTAAAGTTTAAAAAATTATCTCTAGCAAATCACTGTAATTATGTTAGTCTGAGCCAAAGTAGGGATACTTATTTTTTCAATTTTAAGTAACTCCGTTTTTGTAGTTTTGACTTTCTGGTTTCAATACATTTTGTTGCATTAAAACTTTCTATGTTACTATAGCTAGCTAGGTTACGTATATATCGATCCTTTTTGTCTTTGTAAAATTTTTAAAATATTATATTATACTTGTTTTTTTATTATTATTAGCTCTATTTCTGTGCGCCAGCAATACCGAGCGTAAGGCGCGTGTATACCCAATTCGATGTTATTACTCATCAGGATAACGCAGTGTCAGTTTCAGATATATATATATATATATATATACTAGTATCCTTTCGTCTTACAAAGTAAAGGAAATACGTTGTGTACTTCCGAGGACCGGAAGTAGTTACGTAGTAAAAGTAAATTAGAAGCGTAAAGTTCTTAATTTT